ATTGAAGGCAGGAGGAGAAGGGGACGACAGAGGATGAGATGGTTGGATGGCATTACTGACTTAATGGACATGAGTTTGAGCAAGCTCTGGGAGTTGGTGATGGACAGGGAGGCCTGGCATGCTACAGTCCAGAGGGTTGCAAAGAGTCAGACACGACTGAGCGACTGAACTGAACTGACATGTCATCTCATTAACATCAATCCATTCTTAGTTTGAAAAAGATCTAAATAAAATTTACTCTTCTATATATACTAACATATATTATTTCTACCATTTTGAAAATTCAACAACTACTATTTCCAGGCTTGAGGCAACTCTGATCTTCATGATTCTGAGAAGCAGTTTCTGTCACTCTCTCGAATGGAGTTCACCTGGGTCTTGCTTATGGTCTTCATTATAAACATTCAGATTTTATCCCACTATATTTTCACATGTGATGTTTTTTCTTCTTTCCAAGCATGTAATGGAGCTCAAGGATCCCACAGGCCCACTCTCAATAGATTTAACTTTTCCCCTGCATTGGCCTTTCTGATCTAGTTCTCTGAAATAGAGATAGATAATAGAGGAAACGTATTTTTCCTTTAATCTTTTCTTTGAATTTCAGGCCATTATGGGTTTTATTCTTTACTACACAAATTTTACTTTTTATAGTCACTCAATAAATACATGTAAATAATTTTTAAATAATAATTTATTAATCTGATCCATTCATTTAAAGATAATGTCTGATGCCTCCAAGTTTACACCCACAAATGCTGTTGAATAGGACTGGAGAATCTGGAAAACACTCCTCCAGACCGTCCCGGTGTCGGGTCACAAGATGTCCTTACCAGAGCCAGAAGAGTGACTCTCAGTGTATAAATGAGGGGTGGCGAGGGACACATCTGAAGCTGACTGTGCAGTACCTGGGGAGGGAGAGACAGAGCTGCAATGAGGTCTGGAGGGATTTAGGGAACTCTCTTCAATGACTGCTCCCAACAGAAAATGACATTTTTTCCTCTCCTTATTCACATGCAACTGGAAGTGGGAAAGGTAGAGAGAGAAACAAGCTGGTATCCAGCTCACAGCCAGTAACCCTCTGGTTATCTGGGGAAGGGACTTACACATGAAATGTGAATTTCCCAGTGTGCTCCACTCCTAGAGCCTGTGAATCTAGGGACTTGCAGGTGGGACCTCATAAGAAGCAACCTTATCTAGATTAGGCTGTGTGAGTCTGGGCAAGTTTTGTACTCTCCACTCTCTGTGATTCTGCAGCTGGGTATTGCTGCAGAAAGGAGGGATATGGAAGTAACCAAGTTTGGGTTTTGCCCTGTGTAAGTCTGAAAACTCCAGCGTGCTTTCCCTCAAGGCCCTTTTCTTGTTGTAGAGCTGAGGTATGGACTCTGGGTTCTATCCATGGAAGCCAAAGGTAGATACTATCTCTGGAAATAAAAACAAACCAGACAAGTCACACATTTGGGTAACAGATGCTTTCAAAGATATACTTCCCTTCACCCACCAAAATTTCGGCAAAACCTGGGAGCCTCATGCACTGGGACAACAGTCTGATGTGGCTGAGTCACAGCACTATGGGCCACACCCTCATGTCAATGGCTCCAGTTGTGGAGCATAGTCTTTCCCCCTAACTGGCTGCTGCTGTGATGTTGTCAGGGGCCTGGTCACCACATTCCTGATCATGACAAGGGAGAACATTTGGGTAGAAAGTGTGGAAATACGGTCCATCTGCATGAGGGGAGGAGGGTGGCAGGCGGCATCCAGAGCATGTGGTAGCGACATGAAGGTGGGGTGTGGTGCTCCCTCTGCTGAGGGCACCATGGAAGCCTTAGCCCTACCATCTGCCAGTCAGGCCATGAGCCCTGGGGCAGCACCAAGCAGTACAGGGAGTTACAAGAATGGGCATCGCGTTAGAGAGCCCTGAGGATGAGAACAGCTTCCCAGGCGGTGCAGTGGAAAAGAGCCTGCCTGCCAACGTAGCGGACGCAGGCGACGCAGTTTCAGGCCCTGGATCAGGAAGAGCCCCTGGAGAAGGAAATTGCAAGCCACTATACAACATATTAAGAGAAGGAAATGGCAACCCACTCCAGGGTTCTTGCCTGGACAATCCCAGGGACGGGGGAGCCTGGTGGCTGCTGTCTGTGGGCTCACACAGAGTCAGACATGACTGAAGCGACTTAGCAGCAGCAGCAGCAGCATACAACATATTGAAAAGCAGAGACATTACTTTGCCCACAAAGGTCCATCTAATCAAAGCTATGGTTTTTCCAGTAGTCATGTATGGATGTGAGAGTTGGACCATAACGAAGGCTGAGTACTGAAGAACTGAGGCTTTTGAAATGTGGTGTTGGAGAAGACTCTTGAGAGTCCCTTGGACTGCAAGAAGATCAAACCAGTCCATCCTAAAGGAGATCAGCCCTGAATATTCATTGGAAGGACTGATGCTGAAGCTGAAACTCCAATACTTTGGCCACCTGATGCAAAGAGCTGATTCACTGGACAACATCCTGATGCTGGGAAAGACTGAAGGCGAGAGGAGAAGGGGGCGAGAGAGGATGAGATGGTTGGATGGCATCACTGACTCAATGGACATGAGTTTGAGTAGGCTCTGGGAGTTGGTGATGGACAGGGAAGCCGGGGGTGCTGCAGTCCACGGGGTCGCAAAGAGTCGGATGCGACTGAACTGAACTGAACTGAACCAGTATTCTTGCCTGGAGAATCCCATGGACAGAGGAGCCTGCCGGGCTACAGTCCATAGAGTCTCCAAGGAGTCGGACATGAATGAGTGATTGAGCATGAACGCAAGAAGATGAGAACTAGTCCCACCCAGGGCAAACCACTTAGTGTCTTCATTTATAAAGTAGGGACAAAAATGCCTGCCCTGCTTACTTCTCTGGGCTGACTGTGAGGAGGAGTAGGGGAGTGCACACCAATGTCTTTATAGCTGCAAACCTATATGCCCTTGTGAGGCTCCCCAGATGTGGACAGAACCCGGAGGTTTTGGTGCCCTTTCTACCTTTTCCTTGGCCAGCATTGCTGAGCACGTATTCCAGCCTCTCCCGCAGACGGTCATTGATGAATACAGATTCCTTCAGGCGCTGGCGCAGGTTTTGGATCTCAATAAGATTCTTTTCCAGCAGGTCAGCCCCTGTTGCATACCACCAAGACAGGGAGAGGTAGGAAATGAGGAAGGTGTATCCCTCATGGGATACATGAAGGTGGGGTGTGGTGCTCCCTCTGCTGAGGGCACCATGCCCATATCCATACTCCTGTTAACATCCTCTGCTCACCTCGGCACCTGGGAAGCACTAGGCAACTTTGTTTAAAGCAGTCCTAGGCTTTTAATCCCAACACAGCCTTCTGTGAGGAACTCCATGAGGCCTCCTCCCAGAGAGAAGTTGAGTGTATCTGAGGGAGACGGACACTGGGCTGGTGAACAAGTGTGAGAAACTACTAAACTGCTCTAGGGAGGACTGGCCTAACAATGAGAAAGTGTGTCCTCCTCCTTTGGTGGAAATTCAGAGGGCCTCCCTCTCTACTTCAGACCTCTCTTACCCTACGATCCATGACTGAACAACTTTTAACATTCACCCAATTAAAAAAACTAAGGTATATGCATATGAAATTAGATCAGGCTGTGAACAATGAGTGACACTGAATGTTTTCCTTGGGTGAAGAGTGACGGGAAGAGTCTGGGGAGGTATCAGGACCTGAAGGAGGAATGAGAGAAGGGAACAGTTTCAAGGATGGAAAAAGATGCACAAAGAGAAGGGTAAAAAGATCAAAAATAGGCTTCACCAGGACATCGTGCTTAGGGCCAGGTTTTTCTCTGAGAATTTCAAATATTGTTTTGTTATACTGTGTGCATACTGAAACCAGGCTGCTTCCAAGCAGTTCCTCCACATGGGTACACCCCTAGCCCCTGAGTGCCAGGAGGCCTGGCTCCAAACCCACTGGCAAAGAATGAGAAGCAGGACTGGCTTATAACTGTATACAAAGTGTGTGTCTCTCTCTCTGTAGGTGTGTATAGAAATAGTCTTCCATTCTGCAATAACTCTTGATCTAAGAAGACTTACCTTCCCCTTGGAAGTCTGAACTTAGAAGAGTCTAAAAATATCTAGACCTAAAAGGTTATAGCACAGAGAAAAGGGAACACACAAATGTGAGGGAACTCATCCTCCTTATAGAGTACCTCAGAATGCCCTTGCATTCCTTTATTCTCCTGCCCAGAGTGAGTCCCTAGGTAGTGGAAATGAGAGGCACATAGAAAGGATCAGCACTGAGATGGGGCTTCATTCTCTGGCTGACCCATGGGATACTGCCCCTTCATCTTCTCACCCACTTCTGTAAGCCAGGGTTTAACTGAGGAACAAAATACCCTCTGGCCAGGAAAGGAATGTGTTGTTTCTGTAAATGGCTGTATTTCACCAACTGCTCCTTTGTTATTTTTACCAGAGGGCTTGGAGCTGGGCCGGTCCAAAGAGGAGGAGGAGGATAGGTTCCCGGATGCATTCATCTTCTGAGGCTTCATCTCTTCGCATGGGTGACTGCTGCCATGATGCCCAGCATCTGGTGTCCCACTCTGCTCTGCGGTGCCACCCAAAGGATAGAAGGGCTGAGCAGATACAGCTTCTGAGTGGTTGCTGGGCAATGAAGCTGAATCAGCAGGCGTGGCTGGGCTGACATCTGTTCAGAAAGGAATATGAGTGAGAAACAAATGGGGAAGTCAGAAATGAAGTGTTTTAACAATCATTCTACTGGGTTGAATAGTATCCTCCAAAAATTCATGTCTACCTGGAACCTAAGACTGTGACCTCATTTGAAAATAGAGTCTTTATACATTTAATTAGTTAAAAGGAGATGATACTGGATTAGGGTGGACCTTAAATCCAACATGACCGATGTCTATATAAGAAGAGGAGAGGAGACAAAGATAGGAGATACACAGGGGAGAAGACCAGGTGACAATGGGGGCAGGGATTGGAGTGATGCATCTTCAAGGCAAAGGATGGTCCCCACAACCAGTAAGTCAAGAAGAGGCAAGAAACAAGGGAGCATGGTTCTGCCGACTTGATTTCAGACTCCTGGTTTTCAGAACTGTGAGAAAACAAATTCTGTTGTTTTGAAACATCCAGTTTGTGATACTGTGTTACAACAGCCTGAGAAAATTGATAAAGCAATCCATGGAATGAAGACTTTAAGGTGAATAACAGTGATCAGTCAATTGCTTAGTATCAGTTAAGAACTCATTTCCCAAGGACTATCAATTTCACCCCAAGGTTACTGGCACTCCTGGCCTATGATATCAAGAAGCAGTTGCGAGATATAATGTCTGAGGGTCACAGTGCACACAGAGGAAAAGTACAGGGACCTCTCTCCTCGTTCCAAGATCCTCAAATGCTGGAATGATCCCAGAGAGGTACTTCAGAAATGTCTCCTCCAATTGTAGGAATCACTGCCAATCTTAGAAGTCATGAGAGTAAGCACTCTCAAACTGGTCTGTGAACGTGTGATCTTCTCACCCAACAGTCTATGCCCTTGCCACCAAACAGCTGCTGATCCTTCCTGAGCTTGTTCTGTATTGGGATTGTTGTTAGAAGATGAGGAAGGGAAAATGGCCTTCACTTTTGACTGATGAGCAGCAAACCTAGACAGAGTGGCCTACTCCTGGTGGCTCCCACTGCTCCTGCCTGCGTTGACTCTGGACATCTTCTGAGGCTGAGGGGGTGTCTGAGGAAGGCAAGTGGTGATTTGCAATCCACCCAGAATGGCTCATGAGAATGTAAAAAGAATTCTTAAGTATAGCTCAGATTGTCGGGCTCCTATCCAAAGAATGACTGGGGTACAATATTTTTACATAGGGGATTATAGAACAACAACAAAAAAATGGTATTGTACAGCTCAATGATGCTATGAGAACATTTATATCATGTTCTTTGCTGGTTCCCTTTAGACAAAAAACCCGGCTGGGTGACAGGACCATAATTCAGAGAAAAGTTTAAGAGTCTTCTCCTTTCAAGGATTATTATCAAGGACCACAAAACAGTCAGGTTTCTTCTCTGAGCAGGGTCAGAGTGAGGTCTTATTTTCCTCAACCAAGCCAAATTCCTTTCGGGAATTGTTTACTTAAATCAGTATCTTTCCCTGACTTACACAATATCAGATGTAACTAACACTGCTGTGAAATGAAGAGTAAGGTAGACTATGTTAAGCCTTTAGTTCAAGGCATAACTTAAAGTAGAAACTCAATCAAAATGTGATTCCCGATCTTTTCCTTTATATCCCCTCCCCAGAAAATCAGCTTACTCTCAGCCAAGGGCATACAAGGTTTCTAGTCGGTCAGCAACAGTGATCAGCATGTTCTTGTCCCATTCTTCCCTTGCCACAAAACACGGGAAACATCCTACACTGTACATGGAAAGCAGCAGAGACGAGCCTCCTAGGAGAGGAATTAAGTCTCACAGTGATGCTGCCACACACCATTTGTGGCACTAGAAATTTTGGCCCCCAAAGAAGGAGTATTGATAAACCATTGCCCCTCTGAGAAAAATGATGACTTCAGGTAGGAAAAAGAAGGGTTTAGTCTCCTTCAGAAAAGACAGAGATAATAGAAAACAAGGCTGATACTTTCTGAGAGTGCCATAAATGTGCCACATCTCAAATGTGGCCATTCTAACAAGTAGTGGCAGGAATTGCAGGTAAGGAGAAGGTATGTTTGCCCTTTATCTGCTGTCTCTCAGGGAAGTGTTTAGGTGGAGCCAAGTGCCTCTGGGCAACTGAGTTCGAGGATGCACAACAAATTCCCATCAGCCTCTTGGACAATGTTACATACATAACAAGGGCAGCCTATTCATTTATAGTGGGCTTCCCTGCTCGTTCAGTGGTAAAGAATCCACCTGCAATGCAGGAGATGTACGAGGGCCAGGTTCGATCCCCGAGTGGGGAAGATCCCCTCGAGAAGGAAACGGTAACCCACTCCAGTACTCTTGCCTAGGAAATCCCACGGACAGAGAAGCCTGGTGGGCTAGAATCCATGGCGTCACAAGAGTCGGACACGACTTAGTGACTAAACCACAACCAAACTCATTCATTTATAAATTCATGGGTGAAAGTATATGTGTATAGAGTCTTGTCTTCTTTGCAGAGGCTAGGCCTTTGTGCTGGGCATAGGGGAAGAAAGAGTGAAATGGGGAAAACACTGGCTCCAGAAGCCTAGAGAAAGAGGTGTGCACAGGGGTGACGCCCTCCCGGCTAGGTCCATGACTGCTCGGACCGCAGCGCAGTGGGCACTCCAAGCTTTAGAGTCAGCCAGGATCTCAGTCAATGTTACTCCAAGCTGGACTGTCTTCAGTAAGTTCCCTGACCTCACTGAGCCTCAGTGTCCTTAGCTGTGCTGTAAAATCAGGACACCACCACTAATATAAAAGGATTGCTGTCCTGATTAAATGAGGCAGCATATATATAGTGATCAATAATACAAGCATACGGGATGCTCAATAAATGTGAATTTTCTGTCTTCCCTTGACTGCTATACTCAAGAGGAGATATGCTGCTTTGCTTCTCATGTAAAATGAGAAACAGGAAGAGTTCCAGGTCAAAATCCATTATGGCTTATTCATGCCTCATTAGAAAAGACCCTGATGCTGGGAAAGATTGAAGGTGGGAGGAGAATAGGAAGACAGAGGATGAGATGGTTGGATGGTATCACCAACTCAATGGACATGAGTTTGAGCAAGTTTCAGGAGATGTTGAAGGAGAGGGAAGGAAGCCTGGCGTGCTACAGATCATGGGGTTGCAAAGAGCTGGACACGACTGAGTGACAAAACAACAACATGCCTAGAATATTCAGAAAAAATAAAAACAGATACATAGCCAGGGACTTCCTGGTCCCTGGTTGTTCACATCTGACTCTGTATAAGTCAGATGCTTTCCTCAGGAGGGAAAATAAAGGGAATGCTGAGCAGGAGAAAAATGAAGGCTTGATTTTAAACTTATTCTCTTCCCCCTACCCTTACCAAAGCTACCCAAGGGCCCTCTTTGGGGAATTCTGGGGAATGGCATGATGGTGATAGATTCAGTCAGTCCCAGTAACTGATGGTTTAGAGGATATTTCAGCTGAATTATTAGAATGATGGGTGAGATCTGTAAATTCACAGATGACAGAAAATATTTAGTGGTGAATAAAAATAGGAGAAAGTAAAAAATATAAATGTAAAAATAAATAAATAAATAATAGAAAAAGATGGCTTCCCTGTACACTCAGATGGTGAAGAATCTGCCTGCAATGCAGGAGACTTGGGTTCAACCCTGGGTTGGGAAGATCCCCTGGAGAAGGGAATGCCTACATATTCCGGTATTCTTGCCTGGAGAATTCCATGGACAAAGGAGCCTGGTGGGCTACAATCCATGGGGTTCCAGAGTTGGACCCTACTGAACGACTAACACACACACAAAATAGAAACTGTGGCTGTTTACCCAAAGGAGTTCAGGATCAGAGGTCCAATGTTAATGACATTCATGTCTGTGGTCTGAAAGGTGACATGACTGTGTTGCAGGTATGAGGGAGCATTTGTTCCCTCCCCTTCCCAACTCATGATCCCTCCCCTCAAATCCAGCACCATGTATGTGCCTGAGGGGGGTCTGGTGGCTGATGAAGTGTGGCACTAGGAATGGAGAAAAGCTATCTGACACCCCTGAAGCCTGTGCCTGGCACTGAATCCCTGACCTGTGCCCAATCAGGCATGTCATAGTAGGTCTGCAGGGTGTGGCTGCCAAGGTGCCTCCTCTTGGTCTAGACAAATAAGCAAGCACCTAGAAACTGGAGGATCTCTGGGTACTTACTGGCCATGTCCACTGCAGGGCGCACTTTCTGTTCATTGAGCAGCAGGTAGGTGCTGCTAGGGGAGTAACAGGTGGTGGACTGGGCATGGCTGCTGGAGCAGGTCTGGGGCCAAGTCTGCGGCTGGGCATCTTGTTGGGTCTGCAGGACTTCTGTCTTCTTATCCCTCTTCAGCCTCTCCCTTAAGATACTAGGAAGTAAGAAAGACAGAGGAAAAGTGAAAGTCACCCAAACATCACAGTTATACTGATCTGGGGGCTTAGAGGAGAGGCCCCAGGAGTTGAGGAGATTGTTCCTTCAGAAAAGTCAAACAATCCATTCATATTTGGGGGTAGAGAGTTGAGAGGCAGGGAGAACAACAGTGTCCAGTGCCTTGGTCACAAACATCCTGAGAAAGAGAGAAGACCCGTCAGGCTCTTTAACACTTTGACAAGACACTCAAAGGCCCATAAGAGTTCAACACACCCTGAGACATAATCCATTAAATAGTATTTGTGGTGGCCCATTTAAAATTGATTCCTGAGGCAATGCTCCCTTCTAGGTGTCTTGTAGTTTCCAGACCTCCTTGGGCTTCCCTGGTGCCTCAGTTGGGAAAAAACCTGCCTGCGATACGGGAGACCTGGGTTTGATTCCTGGGTTGGGGAGATCCCCTGGATGAAGGGAATGGCTACCCACTCCGTTATTCTGGCCTGGAGAATTCCATGGATAGAGGAGCCTGGCGGGCTACGGTCCACGAGGTCACAAAGGGTTGGACAGAGTCAGACACGACTGAGTGACTTCTACTTTCCCTAGTCATACATAATATAAATCTATGTCATATTTATAATATAAATCTTTTTTGTTTGAAAGAAATTTGTAGCCATTCAACATCTGCCAGCACTTGTTGGGTCACTCTTAAAGATTTCAGATATGATCTCACTCCAGCTTTTAAAGATCTAGGAGAGACTAGAGGTGATCCCTGGGAGGATGGGAGACTCCTAAGACTGGAGAGTTAGGCTAAATTACTACATTACTAAATGAGTGAATTAAGCTAAATTACTAAATTCTAATTACTAGTAAATTTAGTAGTAAATTACTAGTAAATTTAGTAAATTACTAATTCACTAAATGAGTGAATCTTGGATCCAGAAGAATAATAAACTAAAAAAACAGGAAATGAGACCACCTTGTCACTAAGGACACACAACGGTTTAATGGTATAATCAGCTGTTTGGTTTTCATGGGGTGAGAGAGCTGCTGCTCCACTGATCTTCTGGCCCTTGCTCCAGATTCCTGACTAGATTTTATCTTTCATAGCCCCTGAAAATTTTGAGTTACCTGAGTCTCTGCAGCACCTGTTCTCTTTGATTCTTCTTATTTACACAGTCATCTGAAAACCAAATTGAGAAAAGGAGTAGTCATACCTTAAACAGCTCTCATTTACCAAATACAAGCACACACTGGGTTCTCTCTCCGGGGTCAGAGACACATAGCTGCTTGATGCTCAAGTACAGGCTTCTCTGAATTTTCTCAGGAGACACTGGGTTGAGTGTTTAGACAGCATGTCTGACAAACTTTCCCGAACCCACCTCAAAGATCATCAGTCACCTCTACTTGCTCTGCCCTGAGTTAGAGCAAAAAGTTGAAAATGCCTCTTTTCTCACAGATCATGGGGTACTTGTCCAGCCGGCCTCTCGATCATCCCAGCCAGAGCCTCCCAGTCCTGCCATGGGGCGGGTTCCCAGTCCCATGTCTGTGGGTCCCATCAGTTTTCATGCAGAACCTGTCTCCACAGAGGTGACAGCCACCCTGTCCCACCTCTGCATCTGCCATCAGGAGACTGCACAATGGCCTCAAACCAGCTCTTACTATGTGCCCTCAGGTCTCTAGGCAATATTCTATATAACTGATTTCTGAAATAATAAATATTCCCACAAAAGGTACTTATACATTTAGTGCCTAAACCATTCCCAGGGACTTCCCTGGCAGTCCAGTGGTTAAGATTTCACCTTCCAATGCAGAGGGTACATGTTCGATCCATGGTCAGGGAACTAAGATCCCACATGCTTCATGATCAAAAAACCGACACATAAAAAAAAAACCAGTATTCTAAACAGTTCCCAAATCAACACGATTCTCTTATCATTCTTTTCAAGTGCACTGATTAATATTGTTTATTTGATCCTAAGAAAAATCATGCAAGAGTTAGGGGCTTGTATTATTTGATCTAATTTTTTTAGGTGAGGAAACATATCAAAAGAAATATGAACATGTCCAGAACTAGTAATGAACACATATAGGCTAGAGTAGAAGTCTTTAGATTGCTAGTTTAGGACTCTTTTCACAGCAACCAACTGTCCCATTCCACCTCTCTTTCTACCAATTAGTTTCAGATACATGCTGTCACCCCCAGTGAGGCCTCCTGCTATAGCGGCCATACTTCAGGAGACATGGAGTAGCTGGTAATCATCATGGCATCCCCAACCCCGTGTGCCTCTCTGTTGCTTCTCACCAGCCAGCCCCGGCTCTGCCATGGCCCCAAGATGGTGATTACAGAACAGGACACCAGATTGAAATGTCACTTGTGAATGAGTGCAGGTCTGGGAGTGTGAATGGGGGAGGGACTAAGGGCCCTCCTGAGCCCTGGGGCTGGCTTACCTGTGTTGAACTTGCTGGCGAGGCTCTCTGCCAGCTGGCTGCCCTTGGCCAGCTGCTCACGGAAATGCTGTTCCGTGTTATAGTCAATCTTCCTACTGCTGAGGAGCTCTTCAAAGATCTTCACTGTGTTCTGAACATGTTGGATGAGAAGAGAAGAGACAGCCCTCCCAATCCTTATCTTTTCCCGCAGGTGGGTCAACTCTCGAGCCTGATCCTGGATCAAGGAATATTTCCTAAAGTGGGAAGTGGTAAGGATAGAAAGGGGTGACTGATAGATTATGGTGCTTCAGCAGAAGGTGCTCTGAGAATTTCACCAATAGAGTCCCCATTCGGAACTCTAGCTGGTGTTTAGTGACTGGAATGTGGTAAAGGGAATGAAGGAAGGAAAATAAGAGAGTGTCTCTGGGTAAAAGATTCCTTCTAAGATCATCTTTTCCCCTGCTCCCATACTTCTAAAAGTGGTTTTCTTTTCTAGTTCTACTTTGTTTATTGATTAATTAATTAATTATTTGGAGTACAATCACTTTACAATGATGTGTTAGTTTCTGCTGTACAACAGGGTGAACCAGCTACGTGTATCATATGTCCCTTCCCTCCTGAACCTCCCCCCGCCCTTCTGGGTCATCACAGAGCGCTGAGCTGAGCGGCCTGCGCTAGACAGCAGCTTCCCCCTAGCACCCATCTTACACGTGGTGTAAATGCACATGTATATGCACATCCACGCATACGTCAGCGCTACTCACTCAATTCGTCCCGCCCTCTGCTTCCCACTCTGGGTCTACATGTCTGTTTTCTACATCTGCACCTTTATTCCTGCCCTGAAAATAGGTTCATCTGTACCATTTTTCTAGATTCCATATATGTGTGTTAATATACAATATTTTTCTCTTTCTGACTTATTTTACTCCGTATGACAGACTCTAGATCCATCCATTTCACTAAAAATGACCTAATGTCATTCCTTTCTATGGCTGAGCAATATTCTACTGAATACATGTACCACATCTTTATCTATTCATCTGTCAGTGGACATTCAGGTTGCTTCCATGTCTTGGCTATTGTAAACAGTGCTGCAATGAACACTGGGGTACACGTGTCTTTTTGAGTTATGGTTTTCTCAGGGTATATGCCCAGTAGTGGGACTGCTGGGTCATATGGTAGTTTCATTTTTAGTTTTCTAAGGCACCTCCATATTGTTTCTCAATAGTGGCTGTATCAATTTACATTCCCATCAGTACTGCGAGAAGGTTTTCTTTTCTCCACACCCTCTCCAGCATTAACTGTTTGTAGATTTTTTCATGATGGCCACTCTGACCAGCGTGAGGTAATACCTTATTATAGCTTTGATTTACATTTCTCTAATAACGAGCAATGTTTAGCATCTTCTCATGTGTTTGTTGGCCATCTGTATGTCTTCTTTGGAGAAATGTCTAATTAGGTCTTCTGCCCATTTTTCAATGACATCATTGTCATCATGGAACTGCCAATTAAAACAAGAGCAAGCTACTACTAAATGCAAATCAAAACTATAAGAAGGTATCACCTACACTGGTCAGAGTGGCCATCATGAAAAAAAAATCTACAAAGAGTAAGCTATTACTAGGGGCTTCTCTGGTAGCTTAAGACAGTAAAGATTCCGCCTGCAATGTGGGAGACCTGGGTTTGATCCCTGGGTTGGGAAGATCCCCTGGAGAAGAGAATGGCTACCCACTCCAGTATTCTGGCCTGGAGAATTCCATGGACTATAAAGTCCATGAGGTCACAAAGAGTCAGACACGACTGAGCAGCTTTAACTTTCACTAAGCTATTACTATACATCTGTTAGAATGGTGACCATACAGAACACTGACAATCCTAAATGCTGGTGAGGATGTGAAGCAACAGATACTCTCATTTATAGCTGGTGGGAATGCAAAATGCTATTTATAGCTATTTTTGAAGATAGTTTGACAGTTTCTTACAAAATTAAACATATTCCTACATATGACCCAGTAACTGCATCTCTCACTGATTACCCAAATTAGATGAAAATTTATGTCCACATCAAAATCTGCACACAATGTTTACAGTAGCTTTATTCATAATTGAGAAAACTTGGAAGCAACCAAGATGTTCCTTAGTAGGTGAACAGATAAATAAACTGTGGTACATCCAGAAAATGGAATATTTTTTGGTTCTTAAAAGAAATGTGCAGTCAAGCTATTAAAAGACATGGAGGAATCTTAAGTGCATATTATTAAGTGAAAGAAGCCAGTCTGAAAAAGCTAGATAGCATATGATCACAACTATATGACCTTCTGGAAAAGCCAAAACTGTAGTGACAGTAAAAAGACCAGTGGCTGCCAGGGGTTAGAAAGCAGAGAAGGATGAGTAGGTGGAGCACAGAGTACTTTTAGGGCAGTGGACACTCATTCTATATGATACTGTATGATGGATGCATGTCATTATCCTTATGTCAAAACCCATGGAATGTACAAGACCAAGAATGAACCCGAACATAAACTACTGACTTTGAGTGATAGTGATTTTCATTGATTGCAACAAATGTCAACAAATACACCACTCTGGTACAGGATGTTGATACTAGGGGAAGAGGCTACACATGTGCAGGGACAAGGATAGGTAGATGGGGACTCTTTGTACTTTCCGCTCAATTTTGCTCTGAACTTCCTGTTCTAAAAACAAAGTCTATTTTTAAAAAAGAATGATTGTTAAGAACATAAAAATTTTAAATGCACTTGACAAAGTAGGTGGAGGCTTTGTGAACTGAGAGCCCAGCATTTTGATATTATTTCTGCCAAAGTCTACTGTGCAATTGTGATCAAGCAACTGTATCTTTGGGCCTTAGTGTTCTCAGTTATAAAATAATTCTCAAGTTATTTTAGCTCTAACATTATTCTCTGGGTCAGTGAAATTTAAGTGTTACATATTAACAGAGATTCAATGGCGTATGAAGCAAAACCTGAACCACCTTCAAAGCTGATCCTCAACCACTAAGCAAGTTAGTGATGATTTAGTATTTCAGTAACTGATGCTCACAGGTAATTATATAATAGATTAATTCTACACTAATGGAATGTCTTTGAAAAGTTTTAGGAAAAAGGCCATTAAAGACAGACTGATAAATCTAGTGATCAGGCCATTATTTGGCAATTTTGTAAGCTTATTTTTGAAATTGAGCTAATTACACTGTAGTGCATACAGAAGTGGAAATATAAGATTGTACTCATTGAAGTTATATAATGTCATAAACTGGTGGCACCTCAATAAAAAATAATTTTAAAAAATTAAGCTTATACAAATTGCTATTCTAGAAACCAGGGATGTGAGCTTCTGAAGAGAATGTAGAGAATGAGCAGTAGAGATGGAAAAGCCTCTGTATAATTTCACCTCTTCAGCATGAATATGGGTCAACTTTTCACCATCAAAACATATGATGTAACAGGAGATTCTTATGTGTTCCCATCAATGCAGAAAAGAGACACCACTCACGTGACTGGAAGAGTTCCATGAGATCTCAAGGATCCATGAGATCATGTATTTGGTGTATGTATGTATTGTTAGGCTTCCCTGGTGGCTCAGTGGTAAAGAAACTGCCTACCAATGCAGGAGATGCAAGAGACTCAGGTTTGATCCCTGGGTCGGGAAGATCCCCTGGAGAAGGAAATGGCAACCCACTCTAGCACTCTTGCCTGGGAAATCCCATGGACGGAAGAGCCTGGTAGGCTACAGTCCATGGGATCGCAAAAGAGTCAGACACAACTTGGCGACTAAACAACAACAACATGCATTGTTAATTAGAATAAAACCAAATTTCTCTGAATAATATAATTATAATAAAAATACTATAGACTTTTCTCTAAAGAATTTCCAGGCTGGTCTTAAGAGAAAGCCCTACAGTTAAGGTACATAGCTTGAATACAGACCCTGAAAGCTGCTATAATAGTCTCTGAAACAAAGAGTCTCTTACTCTCTGTAGGACATAGAGGAGAATCCAGCTTTCTCAGGCTGAGTCTTCTGCTCATTCACTCTCCTCTCAGAAGATCCCTTCTTCTCCAAGGGCTGATGCATCCCAGGCTTCAGTTGGAGCATTTTCTCACAAAAGAAACCTCTTGCTGCCTCCTTCAAAAGGAAAGAGAGAAGAAACGCATCTGGGTATCCACAATGACTAGCCTCTCCTCCACATCTACCTAGAGGAACCAAAACAAAATAATGCTTTAAAGAGGTTGAATTATAAGAAGGGTCCTCCAGGAGCATAAAAATCACAAGAGCAGAAGCTACAAGGAAGTAAACGATGAAACCTACAATGCGCTCCCTTGAAGGGTTCTTTATCAGCCACAAGAACCATGGTGATCCACTGGGATTGAGAAAAGATGCAGCAAGTGGGGGCAGATGCTGCTATAAGGAGGAAGAGGAGGGTTCAGAGAAATTTTAGCATTAAAAACAAGCAAAGAATAAAGGAAACACATGAAAACAAGTGGGCTTTAAACTGGGCTAGAGGACAAGTATTTTTGATTCTTACAGTTGAGATAAAGTTCCCTGGGAGTGTCCCCTCAGAAACCAGAGCCTCTCTATCACCCCTAACTTCTGACAACTATGTAGGCAGAAACAAAGTTTGAGATGTCAGAGTTCAAATCTCAGTACTGGGACTTAACAATAGCACCATGATAAGGACTCAGAGTATCTGGTGGCAAATTGTAATCATACATAGAATGTGGAGGTAGCTATAAAACCCCAGGAAGCCTTGCCTCCTGATGGCCTGCCACACTCAACACAAGGCTGTTTCTCTCTGGATGTCTCTATCAATAAAGACCACTTCTCTCACTAGCCAGTTTTAATATCTGTGTATTCTTTTGCTGTGTATTTAATATCTGTGTATTCAACTAATCATGCTTGCCTCATAGCTCAGTTGGGAAAGAATCTGCTTGCAATGCAGGAGACCCTGGTTCGATTCCAGGGTTGGGAAATTACACAAGCCATGTGGTGTGGCCTAAATGAATGAATATTTTTAAAAAAGAAAACACCAAACAATAATATTTTCTCAACACCTTTTCTTTTCTTGAAGATAGTTTCAATGAAAACAATTCTCATGGCTTTTCTTAAATGAGTCTTTTAAGACTTCTAGTGATTCTTACCTTTTTTCTTTGGGAACTCTCCAGATTTTGCTTTTTAATATTCTTCTAAGAGCCTAGTAATCAAAAGCTGGAGTTTATGTTCTGACTAATAAATTTAGCATAATAATTTTTCATTAATCATAATCTTTTTATTCCATAATTATTAATATATCCCCAAGCAAAGCAATGTTGGATTTCTTTCCCTTGAAGTAGGGATACATGTAGGGTGTTTCATTTAATAAGAAGTCAATTTTAACTTTCCAAACTATCATTCTCACCCAACTTTGCTATTTACAGATAATTATTTTTGCTTTAAAAAAAAAATCTGTATAACCATTATACTACTAATGTCTGTTCTCAATTGAATTCTGGATCTACAAGTTATTTTCCACTTTATCACAGCCCTTAAAATATTTTATCTCCTTTAATATAATTAGTGGATACTTTATGTTGGTGCTGATTTTAAAAATCTAACATATTTATTTATTCTTTCACTTTGGTCTTAATAGAGCTGCCTGGGCTGCCAAAAAGCCTATTGAAAATGGCCCTTGACAGAACCCAGTAAGATCTAGGCCATAGCAATTTTTTTTTTTTTTAATTGACTTAATTTGGTTTTATTTTTCAGATTATTTCTTTTTTTTTTTTTTTTGAAGGATGATTGCTTTAGAGAATTTTGTGGTTTTCTGTCATACATCAACAAGAATCAGACGTGGGCACACCCCTGTTCTTTTTTTTTTTTTTTTTTTAAATTTTTAGGCCATAGCAATTTGACTTGAGATGGTACAAACCAGGCTGGTACAGGTGTATGGTAATGTACAATGTGCTGCTTTTCATTAGGAATCACTAATATTCTAGCATCAACATTAGAGGGTATTCGATGTGCAAAGTAGATCAAAAGATAAGAAATTCTCATGGTCCTCACTTCAACAGTTTAATTTACTCATCAGAAAGGAGATTCATAGCTATGAAACGGAAAGTGAAGTTGCTCAGTCATGTCCGACTCTTAGTGACCCCATGGACCGTAGCCTACCGGGCTCCTCAGTCCATGGAATTTTCCAGGTAAGAGTACTGGAGTGGATTGCCATTTCCTTCTCCAGGGGATCTTCCCAACCCAGGGGTCGAACCTGGATCTCCCACATTCCAGGCAGATGCTTTACCATCTGAGCCACCAGGGAAGCCCATGAAATGGAAAGTGGTGTTTTAACACCACAGACTAACACCACCTAGCATCTGTGTGACCGTGGTTCATTATAAGCAACCTTTGTTACTATTTTCTTTTTAGGGTGGGCAGTACTTATCTGTTTTTAAATTGATGTACAGTTGGCCACCTGATGCAAAGAGCAGACTCACTGGAAAAGACCTTGATGCTGGGAAAGACTAATGACAAAAGGAGGTGTGTGTTAGTTGCTCAGGTCATGTCTCACTCTTTGAGACCCTGTCAGGCTCCTCTGTCCATGGGATTCTCCAGGCAAGAATATTGGAATGGGTTGCCATTTCCTTCTTCAGGGGATCTTCCCAATCCAGAGATCAAACTCATGTCTCCTGCATTACAGGCAGACGCTTTTCAGTCGTGTCCGACTCTTTATGAGTCCATGAACTGTCGGCTACCAGGCTCCTCAGGAGACAATCCATGGAGTTCTTCAGGCAAGAGTACTGGAATGGGTTGCCATTTCCTTCTCCAGGGGATCTTCCCGACCCAGGAATCGAACCCAGGTCTCCAGGCTCCTCAGGAGACAATCCATGGAGTTCTTCAGGCAAGAGTACTGGAATGGGTTGCCATTTCCTTCTCCAGGGGATCTTCCCGACCCAGGAATCGAACCCAGGTCTCCCGCATTGCAGGCAGACACGTTACCATCTGAGCCACAGGGAAGGCCACCAATCTGAGCCAGGAGGTGGCAAAGGACGAGATGGTCAGACAGCATCACCAACTCAGGGACATGAATTTGAGCAAACTCCAATAGACAGTGGAGGGCAGAGGAGCCCAGTATGCTGCAGTCCATGGGATCGCAGAGTCAAATACCACTTAAAGACTGAAAAACAACATTATTATAGTTTTGAACAGTAATATTTGATTTACTTACGTATGAAACCTATTCAATGTTCTTCAATCCATGTCCTTCATTTCCATGTTTCCCTTGGGATAACTTAGTGAAAGTTAAAGGGTCCCACTCTTTGGGATCCCATGGATTGAAGCCCTCCAGGCTCCTCTGTCCATGGAATTCTCCAGGCAAGAATACTGGAGTGGGGGACCATTCCCCTTCTCCAGGGGATCTGCCTGGCCCAGGGATTGAACCCAAGTCTCTTGCATTGCAGGCAGATTATTTGCTGTCTGAACCACCAGGGAAACCTCTGGGATTACCTAACTTCTGCCCAAAAAACTACCTTCTGTATTTACTCTAGTGAAGGTATGTTGCTTATCTGGAAAGGCCTTTATTTCATCTTCCCTTTGAAGGATATTTTGTCAGGGACTAAATTATAGATTGGAAATTATAGTATTTTAGTTCTTTAATAATGAATACAATGTGAAATTTTTTTCTTTTGGACATTTCTATGATGTTTCTGTTTGCTTTTGATTTTTGGCAGTTTCACAGCCATGTACCTAGTCGTGGCTCTCATTATTATCCTGTTTGGAGTTGGTAGAATTTCTTATATATTTGGCTTCCTAGCTCATCAGTTATTTTTTTCATTGACTGTTACATTTTATAAAATTGTTTTCAATCCACATTCCATCGCCTACCATGTGGGACTTCGCCCTTTATAACGTGATCTGTGTTCTTTTTATTAAATTTATTTTTAATTGAAGGGTAATTGCTCTACAATATTGGTTTGATTTCTGCCATACGTCAACACGAATCAGCCACAGGTGTACGGCTTGAGCCTCCCTCTTGAAGCTCCTTGCCACCTCCCACCCCTCTGGGTGGTGACAGAGCCCCAGTTTGAGTTCTGAGCCACACACCAAATTTCCATTGCCTATCTATTTTATGTTTTTCCAATAGTCAAGTATGTATGTGAAAGTTGGTCTATAAAGAAAGCTGAGCACCGAAGAATTGATGCTTTTGAACTGTGGTGTTGGAGAAGACTCTTGAGAGTCCCTTGGACTGCAAGGAGATCCAACCAGTCCATCCTAAAGGAAATCAGTCCTGAATATTCATTGGAAGGACTGATGTTGGAGCTGAAACTCCAATACTTTGGCCACCTGATGTGAAGAACTGACTCATTTTAAATGACCCTGGTGCTGGGAAAGATTGAAGGCAGGAGGAGAAGGGGATGACAGAAAATGAGATGGTTGGATGGCATCACCGACTCAGGGGACATGAGTTTGAGTAAACCCCGGGAGTTGGTGATGGACAGGGAGGCCTGGCGTGCTGCAGTCCATCGGGTCACAAAGAGCGACACGACTGAGCGACTGAACTGAACTGAACTCCCCATCCCTGACCCCAAGAGATTACCCAAAGTGCTGCTACTTTTGCCCCCCTCTTTAGTATCTGCCCTCTACCTAGCTTCTCAGCCTTTTGTTCCTTGCCAAGAATTGGCAAATGCCTTGAGGGGCAAAGGCAGAGAATTAGTTTCCTTCCAATGAGCCTCTCTTCTAGAACTGGCTCTGTGTGTCCTGACTGCATTGGTAGTTTTCCAAAGACTTCAAATAGAATTCCTTTAAATCAGATTTTATCTACTTGTTTTCAGAGTGTGTGCTGGTTTGCTACAGATACTTCATTCATAACAGAAGAAAGAGGAAATCTACAAATTCCAGGTATATTAAATTTTCCTACTTTGATTCCTTAAGAACAACAAAAAAGAAGGGGTCACTGATACATACTTGCAGTTTTCTTATATTTGGCTAAGTCTGATTTGGCTCCTGTATTGAGGATGGGTCGGGCTTCCCTACTGGCTCAGTGGTAAAGAATCCCCCTGCAATGCAGGAGACTCAGGTTCAATCCCTGGACTGGGAAGATCCTCTGCAGAAGGGAAATGGCAACCCACTCCAGTATTCTTGCCTGGGAAATCCCA